CCCCGCCACAAATAGCATCTCTCACAATGATGATAATGATACTGCTGACGCAGCAGCTACTGTCATTGGACAGACACCAAAGCCCAGTCAGGCTCGGATGAAGACGACACGTTCCAAGCTCAATGGCTCCACTACTTCTTCCACTACTTCTTCCAACTCCATCACCACCGCCGCTAAATTGTCCAAAAATTTCTCCTCCATTCGGCAGACAAAGAAGGCGATGAAGGCACAGTCGCGCGTGGACATTTGCCAAGTCACCTCTGAGTCGTCTGAGTCGTCTGCAGCGGCGACGGCGTCGCCGGCCACGTACTGCATCTGCCAGCAGGCGTACGACGCGAACAAGTTCTACATCTGCTGCGACCGCTGCCAGGGCTGGTTCCACGGTCGATGCGTGGGCATCACTTCGGTGGTGGCGGAAACCATTGACGACTACATCTGTCCGCAATGTGAGGGCGACAACAGCATCAACTACCGCAATATTAAGGAGCTCTCCGCTGAAGACTACCAAGCGCTGATGAAAATTGTTAAATCAATTCAGGTAAGCTAAACTTAGCATTGCTTTAAAATGTGATTTGCAGTTACTCATTTTGTTTGTCTTCATCAGGGTCACGTGCAGGCTCAGCCCTTCTTGAGACCTGTTTGCAAGAAGAAAGTCCCTGACTACTATACCGTTATCGAAGAACCAATGGGTAAGATGCTCCATTTTACGGTATCATTTGCTGCCTTTATAAGGTTTATTAACGCACGCCACTTACTCCTTCTAGATTTAAAGACAATTGAAACCCGCCTGAAGAATAAGATTTACAAANTCATTTGCTGCCTTTATAAGGTTTATTAACGCACGCCACTTACTCTTTCTAGATTTAAAGACAATTGAAACCCGCCTGAAGAATAAGATTTACAAATCATTCGCAGAGTTAAATTACGATATGAACAAAATATTTGATAACTGCCTAATTTACAATGGCCGCACTTCGCATTACTCTCACTATGCGGAAACACTGAAGGAGAACTTCAACGAACTGGTGGACGAGTTTCGCGAGAATGACAGATGAACGAAGATTTCACATCAAGATTAAATTGTTTTTATTTCCACACACAGACTGATTTTTCCTTTCTCCTTTTTTTCTATCTATCTTTTCTCTTTTTCCCGATATCGCACACTTGCATTCGCAACATTTGTTCGAGCCCTTCAAACACACATTTTCCCCTTACATTTATGCATTTGTTGTACAGAGTTAAATTTAACTGTAGCATCCTCCTTCGAAGCTACGCAATTTTGTAAGTGAAAGTACTAAAATCGACATTGTATTATAACTATGAAGTGCACATACATATAACATTTGTTTAATTTAAAGCATTAGAAAAAAAAGTTTTTGCGGGTTAACATTATGCAAAATATAACACACACAAAAAGACATAATATTGAAAGCAGTATAAATAACAAGAAGGTCAAAGGCATCAATGAATAATTTGATGTGTAAGAATAAGAACAAGAAGAGCAGCACTGATCACCACTTAACCAAGCCGGGCATGTACTTGTCAATGAGTGACTGGTAGTAGGGAATGAGAGCGGGCACGTCGGGCAGATCGGGGGTCTTCGAGTATAGGTCGAACTTGTTGAACTCCCTCACCCAGGGCAGCATCGCCAGGTCGTGCTTCGAGCAGAGGTGGTAGTAGTCGCCGCCCGAGTGCCAGGGGTAGAAGGAGTGAAAGCGAATGATGTAGAGCGCCTGCTCGGGCAGGCGGCACGTCGGGTGGTTCTTCAGCACCCGGTACATGTACTCGTCGTGGCCGAAGCTCATCACCAGCTGGTTCAGGCCGCAGTTGGGCTCGTAGACGCCGTACTTGGTGCTGTAGACGGGGTCCTCCAGGTCGGGGTTCTCCTTGAAGGTCTCATCGCGGTAGACGATGCTTTTCGCAAACTCACAGCCCAGCGGAAAGGTGTCGCCGACCACCGCCCACTGCGGCTCTCCGTAGAGGGCCATCAGCTTGCCGAGGTCGTGAATGAGGCCGGTCAGGTGGAACCAGTCCAGGTCAGGGTGGGCCTCGCGAATGCGTTCCGCCGTCTGGAAGGCGTGGATGATGTTCGGCAGGTCGACATCAGGGTCGCTCTCGTCGACGAGACTGTTCAGCTTCTCCAGTGCGTCCATGACGCTCATGGTCACCTTGTCGAAGCGAGTCCAGCTCTGCAGCTTATCCTGGGCAAAGGACATGCACTGCTTGGTGTGCATTGCCTTGTACGTCTCAAAGACGCGCTTCTGAATGTAGTCATCCTGAGATGGAAAAAGGAGGCGTCAGTACATCTGATCATGTAAACCCAAATAATCAATCCTACCTGGTTTGTGGTGTAGATGCGGTACTCCTCCGGAGACTTGTGCTCCGGGCGAAAGTGCTCTGAGGGGTCGAGAAGAAAGACCTCACTGCCGTCCTCAGGGCCGACTGAGGCGTTGCTGATGCGTTTCTGTATCTCCACCGATGTCGGATCGCGATCAGCGAGAGAGTTTTGGGTGTCATTGCCAAGCAGCAGAGCCATGGTAGAGCTTGCTTTTTGTTCGTTTGAGCCCAAAAGAGAAAAGGTGGTGATTTAAGTGATTGGAAGGTTGGGATGGATGCTATTGAAAGTCAGCCAGTCAGTCAATGAGTCAGTGAGTTCTGACCGGTGCCGCCGGCGATGATGGCCTTTTATATGGCTGAACAGATCTAAAGGCTCTAGTCTTCACTGACTGCTCCCTTCCAAGGCCTGCTGAAGAGGCGTGCTGACGGGAGGTGCAATTATCACAGCAACGTGTGTGGAGTATATGCTGCTGCTGCTGATGACGGCCACCAGCCGACAGTGATCATCATCATCATCGCCTCCATCATCAATCAGCAGTGCTGATCGACGACGAAGGCTGGTCCGTGAGTGGTCGACGTCACCGGCTCCAGGCGCCTGCTGGAGACTACCACAACCACCCAAAGACACAGGCACTCTCTTCAATGGCTGCAGCAGCATGTGATCAGGAGTATCAGGCGAAGGAGAAGATGCTGCAGCAGTAGTCGTTTTCTCGCCTGGCCTGGTTATCCGCTGGTTATCGCTCACCAATTGACACCACTTATCTGCACTGCCATTTAGCCAAAAGGTTGCCTTCACGAGGTAGTGAAGAAAACTGAAAAATTTTTCCACTTGCTTGAAAGTGAGGCTGTTGCAAAATCAGGCGAATCAGATTGGGGAGTGAGAAGGAAGCGTTTAAGTGCTGCTTGGTGCTGTACAGCACTGCACTGACCAAAAGAAGTACAGCAGTAGTAGTAGTAGTGAGAGAGACTTCCCTTTTCCTTACCTCCCCGCCCCCATTTAGAACACCTTTTGCAAGTTTTTCGAGTACCCAAAATGTGGCATTTCGTCAGCCAGCTTAGAACGCAGATAAAGGTGAACTAAAAATATATCCACACAATCAGACAGACACAAACAGACCCTGCTGAAGATTTGAAAAGTCAAGTCTCGTCGAAGAAGGCAATCGACGATGATCAGGCGATGGAGGGCGACAACGCGTCTCACTGACAGGTTTGCGCCGGTCGGCAGGAGGCTCATCAGGAGGTGCAGCAGCAGCGACTGATGGCCGTCGTTCCAAATAGTCGCAACCAGATAAGGGCAACCAACTACTACTTCTGTTGTTGGCAATCAAGTCAGCTGCACTTTACTCCCTTTTTCTTTCTGTCACACACTGGATAATACTGCCAATTCATCGATACGACACGAGTCTTTCTTCAGTCAATCAGTGGTTTTCAAACGATCCTTCTCTTGGGGAGCAAATAGAGAGCCTTAGTGAATGGTACTGCCGTGAGTAACTAAACAAAAATCCCAACCGAAACAGTACTTTCTTACCTCCCTCGTTCTCCTCAAACTTCACTTCAGTGTATGTCTACATTCACCAATCGAGGTCAATCGACACTGTTCGGTCATCGCCTAAGTTGATGTTCTTATCGACGGAAAGTTTTCAATGCAAACAGCAAGCTGACGGATGCTGAAGGAAATGTGCTGTGTTTTGTTGAGAAGTCTGAAGATAAGCAGTTATCTCTTTTTTCTCTTTTCAACTGAAGTTGAGGCGATGGTCAACTGAAGGGGTGGCTGTGTTGGCTGTGTTGCACTATCTGTCGAATGAGTGATCTCGTCTGGACCTCCCGGAATTCCCATCTACTAAACTTGAACTTCCACATTGACACTCGCTCAAAGTGAAAGTTAACCTCTCCGGTTGCTTTTCAGTTCATGTTTCGGCACATTGCCCATTCATTATCCTCTGCGATCACTCCGTTGCAGCCAGTGATGGCCGCCAATCTAATCGGAATGAGCTGTAGCTTAAGTTGTTGTTTTCTTCTCTTCTCTTCTTTCAGAGCATATCTTTTCTTCGAGAATAATAATACTCTTCAATCTGAACAATGTTTAACTCTTCTCACGATCAAGTGTGGTCTACATTTGAAGGTTAGATAACTTAGGCAATGACACAATGCGTCAATCTTCGGTGTTATCATGACAAGCATTCTTCTTTTTCAACAAAAGTAAACATAACAACAGTTCAGTTTTTCAGCAGCAAACACTTTTCACTACACAAAAACATTAAAATGAAAAGTTTTGCATCCGAAGCATCTTCAGCAAAATGTGTGCTCTTGGGCGAGCACTTTTTGTTTGCAAGCATACGAGAGCGACGCGATTTTTGCCGAAACAGATAAACTTAAATTGAGTAGATAAAGCGGCTGACAAGCGCCCTCNTGCTCTTGGGCGAGCACTTTTTGTTTGCAAGCATACGAGAGCGACGCGATTTTTGCCGAAACAGATAAACTTAAATTGAGTAGATAAAGCGGCTGACAAGCGCCCTCTTCCAACTGAAAATTGCGGTCTCCATGCGGAGCACCAATCGAACAAGGTCCAAGTGGAAAAATTTCGTCCTGAGTCGGGACAGTGAACTTTTCCGGTGATTTGCAATGTACTAAAAACAGCATCGCCTGATGACAAAAACGCTGTGTCAGTGATTGAATTCTCAGTAATGATCAGGTGTTGATGTCAGCTCAGCATCCAAAGATCAGTGTGTCAGAAGTGCCTCAGTCAAGTGAAGAAGCAGCACGTCAACCCAGATTCAGTAAACGTAAACAATCAATCAATCTAACTAGTTAGCAGGATCCTTTCCTGGTGACTA